CATTACCAAATACAAATGTATTATTCAGAATGAACATTTAATATGTTCTAAACAGATACAAATAGAAGGCATACTATTTGTGATTTTGTTTTCTTTTTTTGAAGAACGATTGCTAGAAAGCTTCACTGGACATCTGATTCAGAACAGCGGTGTGCATAGAGACTGGGCTCCCACGAGAAGCAACAAAAATTTTGCCTGAGCTGGAGATTTTTACTTTCATGTAGGCACAAGGGAGTGCTCAGGTATGAAGCTCAGGAGACAAACAATAACCGTGCTCATTAACATGCATACAATGTATTTATAGCAAAGTGGATTAAATTAGGGTACTAGTTTGTTTATATATTGGGAAATACAACCATATATTCATTACAAAATATTGCAGGGTGGGAACAAACAAAAATAACAATTGCATAAGCAGGATTAAAAAAAAAAAAAACAGTCCTGCATACAGAGGAAGTGTCAGGGCTATATAAATTTAACGTAGAATAAATACTGGGAGAACAGGAAACCAGGAATACATGATGAATCCACTTCTCCAATTTCTGTCTGCAGTAGGAACATCATGAATGTCTTACAATATGCCTTCAAGCCATCAATAATATTGGCTGAGAGAAACAAGCCAAATGCACACGCAACATGCAGAGCAGAAAAAGCAATGTTAGAGCTATTCAGCAAACATGACTGACTGAGAGAGGGGAAATAAAACACGGATTAAGATAAATTTAATCCTGGCACCTTAAAATTCAAACTAACCACCGAGTCCAAAATGGGGTGCTGACTGAATGCATACATGTGAAGTCGAGAGAATAGCATGGCTTCATTGTGGAGGCCCAGTGGGTGGCTGTGGTGCTCAGTGAGCTGTACTGACCCCTGGGTGGAAAGGCCGAGCTCAGCATGGCTACACCCTCCATCCACCACCAGTTGGCATGGTAGCTGCTGCTATAGCAACAGATGGGACTCAGTGCTATAGTTGTGTGCCTCTGCCTCTGCCCCCTGGAGGACAGAGGACAGTAAACTGGGCACATGTCTGCCATGATCACATGAAATGTGATGGGAAAATGGCAAGTTTTTGAACTGTGTGAATCACTCACATATAACTGATGCATAACAGGTGAAGAGAGGAAACAAAATCTCTTGGGTTGTCTGAGTGGTTTTTATGGTTGAGTGTGGGACAGCAGTGTTTGGGAAAGATCTTGTAAAATTAAAAAACTGCCCTTAACTAAGACTGAAGGGAGAGAAATAGAGCATAAGACCAAACCCCATACGTGTATAAAATATATCCAGTGAACACTAGAAAAAGAAACACAAAATGGGGGAACAAGAATTAGTGAGTCAGCCAGGGAAGGGGGAGTGTATAAGTGAAAATGAATAGAAAGAGGAGGACAAGGACACAGGAGAGGATGAAAGAGAGTAAGAGGGTAGAAGTGAGCAGATTGTGGGCTTCAGGTGATGGTAGCTGAGACAGTGGGTGAGAATGTGGTGATGGCACTTCCATGTCACACAGTGGAGGAGGCATTAGTAAATTTCCTACAGCAGCTATCCTGGACTGAAATGACATCTGACACCATTATTCCATCTCCATGATCCATTACAGACAAAGTTTGCTTCTGTGACAAACTACAGCGCCTAAAGTTATGACATTTCTTTGTAGAGCATAATGAAGTCTGTGTGCATTACGGAAGGTACACTGGAATATTATTAGCTTGGGTGCCAATGTTCTTTGCCTCCATCCTGGCAGTTTGGAGCTGTTATATTCATTGTCAGTGTGGAACGTAATAATGAAGTGAGTGGGTGTGTGGGAATTTTGCTGATATGCAGGATAAGGTTGGGCAAGAATGACGAAAATATCATATCACGATACTTGGCATTCATGTATCACAATATATGGGTTTGCTAACAAACTGCCAGCAAAACAGCAGTGTTGCATTTTTAAATAAAGCTGTGAAAAACTGACTTCAGTGAGACTATGACAAATTTCAGTGATTTAACACTAACAAGTAGAACACAAAGCCCAATGTCATCAACGGGATGCCTCCGCTGCCAAGTCAAATACCCTTAAATATATATACTATATGGCCAAAAGTATGTGGCCACTAAGAACTGAACATCCAAAACCATGGACATTAATATTTAGTTGTTCCCCCTTTGCTGCTATAACAGACTCCACTCTTCTGTAAAGTCTTTCCACTAGATTTTGGACCATTGCTGTGGAGTTTTGTACCCATTGAGCCACAAGAGTGCAAGAGGTCAGGCACTGATGTTGGGTGAGGACGCCTGGTACACAGCCATCATTCCAATTAATCCCAAAGGTGGTCAGTGGGGTTGAGGTCAGGGCTCTGTGCAGGTCTGTGCAGCTCAAGTTCTTTCACACTAATCTTGGCAAACCATGTCTTTAACAGGTTCAGGCCTCTTAGATCCAGTGAAAGGAATTTTTAATGCTACAGCATACAAAGATATTTCAGACAATTGTGTGCTTCCAACTTGTGGCAACAGTTTTCCAGACGATGCACATATGGGTGTTATGGTCAGGTGTCTATATACTTTTGGTCATATAATGTACTTCAAACGGGTAGGAAGCTATGTATGAAAACTATTTCAGCTATTTGACCTTGCTATGACCTTGACCCTGTTTGGATCAATTCTCAAATTTAGCCAGTTCCTCTGCTGGCTACAATAAGCATTCGATATAAATCCTCCAAAAACGTCACCACTTGTTCTTGAGATATCACATTAAAGAGAGTCTCGGACAGACATACGAATGGACGGAAGCACGGACAACCCAAAAACGTAATGCATAATGAATAAAAAGGAGGTAAGTACAAACGTAACATTTCACAGCTTTAAAGATTGACCACAAAATCTGTGGCTTCCAGACAGAGTCTGTAATTGCTATAAAACATAATACAGATTACATAATACATCCATCCACCCATCCAATTTCTGTACTGCTTATCCTACACAGGGTCACAAGGAGCCTGGAGCCTATCCCAGTGTACTCAGGGTACAAGGCGGGGGACACCCTGGACGGGGTGCAGGGCACAATCATACATTCACACACCCATTCACTCACTACAGACAACTTTGGGATGCCAGTCAGCCAGTCATACGTCTTTGGACTGGGGGAGGAAACCAAAGTACCCAGAGGAAACCCCGAAGCACGTGGAGAACATGCAAACTCCATGCACACAGAGCGGAGGTGGGAACTGAACCCCCAAATACAGGATTGCCTTTACTTACTTTGCTTGTCATTTATTCAAACCTGGAAGTCACAAAATAAGCCATAACACACACACACACACACACACACGATAACATCTTGATACTTTATTTTTATCCATTGCTTTTTGAAACAGCTTATTTAAAACAATAGGCTTTCTTCCTCTTGTCACTTCATTGTGCTAAAACCAAGAAAGAAGAACAGGAGAAATGACTGAAAATTGGAGCAATTCAAAAATGAAGCGTTGGGATTATCGTTTTGAGAACAAAGATACCTATAAGAGGAGTTAAAAGGTACAGAATGTGGTCACTTATAAGCATAAATTACCCGTATGACTGACTGAGACAGTCTCCAGGCATACCCGTGCTGAGATGAGAGCACAAGTTAGTGGTGCGGCAATAATCCTTGTACATAGATTAATAGCTAATAACTATAATCCAATGACTAGCACAGTGCTGTACTCCTGGCTTCATCCCATCAGCCTCTTTATTAAGGTCAATCCTCCATCTGCTTACAGAGAGACAGAAAGACACAGAGAGAGAGAGAGAGAGAGAGAGAATCTGTGCAAATCAGCACCAACCTCTATCTAAGCCAAAATCATCACTGACTGTTACTGTGCATTTTGCACTTTTTTCTTTTCTTATTCTCTCTCTCCCCCTCCCTCTCTCTTCTTGTATCAATCATGATCAATTGTCTATTTTTGTCTGTCCTTCTGGATGCTGACTGAGCCACTGATATGCTCACAGAAAGTTCTCTGCGTCACAGAGGACAGCAGGAAACTAAGCTCTGAGAAGGAATTATGGCTGATATAATGTTAAACAGAGTGTAATACAAGACTACAAAATGTAATCTTAAGTGTAAAAAATAATTATACCAACTTATACTGATATTTTTAGTGCATTATGGTATTGGTGGAAAAATACTGCACACATTGCACAAAAATAATATAAGAAAGAAGTGCTATAGACAAGCGCTTTTGTTTGTTGCTGCTGTTTTCCCGCTCGTCGGTAGCTCACTGCAGTCTAATAAACCAGCATTATCTCCCAAACCACATAAAAGTGCCTCTAATCATTAATCATCATCAAAATCTAGTTTGATGGCTACATATAGAGAAAGGAAATATTCCACAGGATGGCACCAGCAACTCTTAAATAACCAATAAATGCAATGAAACACTTTCATCTAAACAATTTTTTCCCCTAAAAACCCACTGTTTGGGAAGGCACTGCGACTGATCCTAAAGTTTTTAGCAACTGAAAGCCTCCATGACTCATTGAGTCTCAAAATATCTCCGCATACTCAGCAAGAAGCTCCACATCCACAGCCTGCCAACATGAGCTCTAAGCAAAAGGAGAGAAGTAAACTGTAGGCCTCAGGGACAGAGAAAGAACCAAAAATGAAAAGCATCCAATCTATCTATTCTTCTCAAGCAGCTGAGTCATTCTAAAAGCTTCCTACATTTCAAGTCAATTGAATTTCATGCGAAGAGATTCAAGCAGTCAAAAACAATAACATTTTTACTGTTTATCTAAGAGTGCTTTCACATATGCTGCGTTTATGCCATTTGAATCGAACCACAGTGCGTGGCCCTCTTTGGTCCAGATCCTTTGGGAAGGTGAGAACACAGCAACTGAGTGGGGACAAAAATAACTAGTGTGGTTCGATAGTTTTTACATTTACCTCATTTGGCTGAAGCTTTTATCCAAAGCAACTTACAATTGATGGAGGATTCAAATGAGCAGTTGCAGGCTAAGGTCCTTGCTCAAGGGGTCAACCGTGGCAACTCAGTGGTGCTGGGATTTGAACTCATGACCTTCCGATCTATAACTAAATGCCGTAACCACTGAGCCACCACTGCCATGAGAGACCACCCTGAGAAAGAGATTCAATACTGAACTGATCCAACTACGTGAAGTGAACCAAACATGCCATGTGTTTTGGATTGCAGGTGATATTTTTCTGTAGATCTGAGCTGTTGAACTGAGCTGCGAGGCACAAACTGAGACAAATAACTGAGTTGAAGTGCTGCAGAAATGCCGTGTGTTCTGGAGATTTGAACCAATGAGCAAAACAAGGAAAAACCGTGGATGGGATGCACAAATTTTTCACAAAATATTTATTTCTATAAACTAGTACTTTTGTTTGTTTACTTGTTTTTGTCACTGTATTTCTGACAGAAGGAGTTTTACACCTGCAGTTTCAGCCCTACACACCCTCAGCCAACACTGTTTTCGCTTTTCTTCTTTGTTTAATTATGTGCAGTGAGTAAATCCAAAAAGTATAAAATGTCACTCTGATTCGGACTCACCAGCCGGACTAATAGTGTAAAAGCAGCCTAAGTGGCTGAAAGCAAACCCCAAAATATTCCACACACCCTGCTGCATTCAGGACACACACACGTAACACAAATGCAAATGTAGCATGTGATATTGTATAATGTTAATGCCGTTCTAACTAACTACAGGATTTAAATGGACACTGTTGAATTGTGAACTGATTAACAGAGCCATTCTCTCTCAGCAAGAAAGTTAAATATCCTTGCAGTGTTTCATGCTACAGCTATAAAATATTTACATCAAATGTATTCAGTAGTACTTTTCTTCAACACCACATTTCCTCATTTCAAATCTTGTAAGTTAATATACAAGCAAATATATACAAAAGACTAAACAGCAGTGTAGTCTAAATTCTGCTGTGCTGGTTCTTTAAGAAATTAGAGTTGTTGATTAGACCACAACATTTGCAAGTCTAAGGCGTACAGCATCATGTCCTATCAAATCTGAATCACTGCCGCATTTTAATTAAACCAGGATCCTGGTTGATTAAGGTCTCTGAGCTGCTTATGAAATAATACATTTTTCCCTTCGGAGGTAAAAATACAGAACTTTTCCCCGTTGTGTCTAATGGACCTTTATTACCGTGCCCGCCTCTGATCGTAGGACATTGCTGTTTTCTGCAGCGCTTAAATTGTCTACATACAGTGACGCCTAGAATGAACAAAGCAAACATTAAAAATAAAATCTTGCCACTGCCTGGCCTTACGGAGGAGGGAGAATGTGAGGAGAGTGCTCTGTGTGTGTGTGTGTCTGTGTGTGTGTGGTCATGCAGGATGGACGATGGTGGTAATAATGCTGTCGTTATGTCCAGGGATCTTTCACCTTGTCTTATCATCCCCTACAGCGCCCCACCCTTATTTCCATATGAACTTGCGCGCGCATACTCACACACACACACACACACACACACATACACACATACACACACACACAGCAAGCTAAAATTAGTGTCTCACTCTGCTACACTGCTTGAGAAGAGAAAGCTCCGTGCAGGGGAATATCTCACAGACCCACATACTCTCAGGAGACACTGTGAGAATATGCTATTTCTGTGGCATTATGGGTGCACACACACACACACACACACACACACACGTATATATGTAGGCTTACAGCTACGCATGCATATACACACACGCGTGCGCATGCACACACACACATACGCAACAAACCCTTTATTTTCCTATGAAATATTCAAACCCAATATCGCCGTCTCTACTTATACAATCAAAGAATTACATAACTCAATATAGCTGGTGGCCATCATAAGTGCAGTGAACGGACAGTAAATGAAATCCAGTCTGTGTAATTTCTTCCGATCTACTTCTGCTGATTATATCCTCAACCCCTCATTACATTCAAGAGTCTCAGTTACAAAGAAAAAAACATCAGAAAATACATCAAAACTAGGATGCGGGGCAGGAAATTCAGTAGCTCATGACAGAAAACAAAATGATGCAGAATGTGTTGAAGTGCTTGAATCAACAATCAGAGAATCACGTTGTAATATAAATGAGAAACATGGTGCAGTATGTAGATGTTTGGTTCTTACTGATTCTTATAGCCAATTCATGCATGCAGTTTATTACAGCAGTATGCAGTCATGAATACCTCCATACTAGGGATGCATCAATACCATTTCTAGGAGACATGGAACATGTTACTTAGCTCTGTTCATGTTTCCCCAGTTTACAAAGTGGTCATGAAAAGAGCATGTGTGTGTTCATGCATTCAGGCCACTTTATAAGGTTGCTGAGTTGATTTTAAAATGAAGTGCATTTGCTAGTTAAATTAGCTGGTTAATAACAATAGTTTCACTCAACCTGCATTGTCTGTAGATATTTTTTTCTTACCTAGCCAGTGTGTGCTGCAGAGTTCATGCTGTGTGCTATCAATGAGCTCCTCATGCTGAATTTTATTTTAGATGTTTTATCAGGTTACTTGTATTATAGAAAGATGTTGTAGTTCCTCCTCTTGATATTTTCACAGAGGACAGTTTGCATTGCTTTGTTTGCCATCATTAATCATGAAATACGACCAGACTGCTGTCATTTTCTGTCATCTGTTCATTAGCATACAACGTACACTAGGATTACGTCACACAGCCTCACATCACCTGGTATCGAATGTGGAGCATTTTTTATGAGTAAAACAAAATCTGACATTTGTTTGGCACTTGCACTGTGTAAAACCTTGTGAATTACAGTTTTGCTCTCTCTCTCTCGCTCTCTCTCTCTCTCACACACACACACACACATCCCTCTCTATGGCCCACTACGGCATCTTTAAATGTATTACAGCTGAGTGGCTTCATTACAAGTCATATTTCCAACTACACCCCAGTGCAGCACCACACTAAAGCTTGAAGTTTGATGGTCTCAGTGCTCTGAAGTCAGCCATCATGAGCGTGAGTTGGAAAACAGATGAACAAAAAAGAAAGCTGCTCGATCAGTCATTTTTGCTTATAAAATGTCTGAGTAAGTAATGAGCAAGGACAAATGATGGCCTATATCACACCAGGTCAACTTCTGAAATGGTATTCAACACTGATCTAATTTAGGAAAACCAAACAACAAGCACTCAATTTTTTTTAGTAGTCAAAGAATGAAAAGCAATCAAAGAACTGCAAATTGGAAACAGCACCAAAGTGAAAAGAAGCTGTGTTTCTGTACACCAAGGAGGTGAAAAACAAACAAACAAAACAAAAATAAAGAAGATAGAAAAGCAAATAGGTGCATATTACTCAGGAAGGCCTGAAGGATACACTACACTTCAGAATGGATTAGATATCATCAGAGATACTGACAGCATATTCAGGTGAGAGGGATATAAATAGCACATGTACAAAGTGTTCTGAAGTGTTCTCAAAATTTGCCAAATTCAGACTTAGACACACTTTAAACACTAGCACCCGATATCGTTTCCTACCTGCAATCATGCTATTTAGCTCAATTTCCTCCTCCTCATCTTTGATGCGCAGATATTTCGTTGACTGGGCAATCCTGGGCAAAAGACAGAGAGAGGGAGAGAGAAAGAGAGAGAGAGAGAGAACACAGAGATATATTATACAGCAAAACAGAAAGTAACTGATTTTTATGGGCCAGAGAATGAGTGAGCATGTCTGACTACACAGTGGCAGCAGGAGGAAATGTGTGTGAGACACGTCTTTCACAAGTGGTGTGCTCACTCAATCACATACACCTGTGATAAAGTGGATCAAGTCTACATTTCATAGCTGTTACACTCTCAGAAGAAAGGGTACTAAACTGTGCCTTCCCTGGTCAGTGGGATTCTTCTCTTTTGTACCTTTAATATGTATCTTTCAGCTGGAAATGTGGGCATACTGTAAGCCTTTAAAGGTACACTACATGCACCTTTCTAGGTAAAAGACACATACTGAAGATACAAAAAGGTGTACCCTTGAGGGTACTTCCCGAGTGACACGTACAGTTTAATACCCTTTTTTTCTAACGCATAGACCAATCAATACACTTTATATCCAGAAGGTGGCAGTGGGAATACTTAGTGTAAACTGAATGCATATACTGCTGCACTGTTAGAGCAATAGTGCTATTATACAAGTCCTGGGGAGTTATACATACTCTGAGTCTGAGTAACGCAGAGAAGAAAAAGAAAAAGAGGAAGGCTACTGGTGTCCTCAAATTATCTGTGAGTTTAGATTCGATTTGAAACAGTTTTACACTTGAGTTACTTCACTAGTCTTCTTCCTGCTAAATCTTTTTTAATGTTTGAATGTTATGCTTCAACATAACAGTGCTGTGGAGCACCTTCCACAGATACCCAAAATCTGACTTCCCATTCATTACATCCAAAATAATGTGAATCCTGTGCCACAGATTCAGCAGAGCTGAAATCAGAAGCATTTTCTTCCAGATGTCAATCTCAGAAGTTATCAGCAGTTTTCACAACTTCTGGCTTTCATATTCAGTCACTTTCAAAGATGCTTTTGCAGAATCTGTCACTCCAGACGGATGATCATACCGTGTAATTGGCTACAAGAAGACCTGGCTTTTAATTAACTTGAGGAAATTAGTGCATCTGTGACAAATTAAGATAAAATGATCCTAAAAGGTAGTCTGTCAAATGCAGTCAAATACTACAAGAATACAGTGAGAAAGTAGACATACAGAGACATTTCTCAAAGGAAAAAAAACACAGTTACCCAAACTGATGCAATGGTTACATCTTTTTCAATGTCAAAATACCATTATCAGCTGATCTGAAACTGATCTGAAAAGAACAGGAATCTGAGGCTACAATGGACACAGGCTCACTGAAACTGGACAGTTGAAGATTGGAAAGAAGACCAGGTGATGTTTTTCCAAATCTTCTACTGTCCAGTTCCTGGGCCAACTGCAGCCTCAGATTCCTTGGCTGACAGGAGTGGAACTTCTGCAGTTGTAGCCAATCTGCCTTAAGGTTCAGCATGTTGTTTGTTCCAAGATCACAGTGGTTGTAAAGAGTGGTTATCTGAGTTACCATAGCATTCCTGTCAGCTTGA